TTATAAGCTAACCAAATAAGCTAAAAGCTAGCTTATTTGGCTTACCAAACATACCCCAAGTCTTGATCATGATTCTGTATTTTTGTTATTTGACATGTCTATGGGCTGAACCGGCTGAGCGGTTTGGGCCGATTCCAATTCACATAAATACAATTTTGTTAACACAATTTTGTTAAACTTTCGGTTCCGGTTCGAGGTGGGCCTGACAATTATTATTATTATTATTATTATTATTATTATTATTATTATTATTATTATTATTTGCAAATTTTTATTTTTATTTTTAATTTTTGGGGCCGGCAGGGATGAAACCATTGATGGGCCCAGTAATAGAATAAATCTGGACCATTGATCATTTTCTAATGTTGGAGATCGACAATCATTTTTTTTAATATATAAGGTTTCGGGTCCCGATCCGAATCAGTCAGTCTGGAACCGCCAACGATAAGAATTTTAAATCTGGTTGTTGGATTTTTGAAAGTTGGAGATCCAAACGAATTATTAGTAATTCGGAATTAAATGGGGAGTGCAATAATATTATTTTAATAGAATATTTTATTATTTATTCAAATACGAAAAAGGTAAAAGACATAAGGTCTTCTAGAATTTTAACAAGTTGAAACACATAAGGTCTTCTAGATGTTAACAAATTCAAAGATATAAGGTCTTCTATTTCTATTTGGAAAAACTCATATTTAGCAACTCCTTAGGGTCTCTGTTGTAGTCTATAAGTACACCAATTTCCACACCTCCTACATACTAATGCCACCAGTTTTTTAAATCTTCCATAAGAGAAAAAATTCGAGTTTTATATATATTAGGAGGTTTCGGGAGTTTCGTTTCGAAGTAGGTGTAGAGGTAATACATCAAAAGATCATAAGGTTTAGTTTTTCGCATCACGGCGGATTTGTTTTCTTCCCCGAGAATAAACGTGAGCAGCCCTCGCACCCGCGAGTTCCCGACGAGAGTCGACGTGCCCAGCAAGCCCGCACGATTTTTCGTTCCCAGCGACGTGCAGACCCGCGACGTCCTCGACAGTATCCTCGCGACCCGCCAACCCAACGCGCATAACTGTTCGCTAATTATTTTTGCTATCCGCAAGCGTACGGCGTAGCTATAGGTAGTGGCGAGCAAGGTCGTATTCCACAGAGATTGTAGTTAAATTAATTAAGTACTAAAATAATGATGATTAAATATTATTTAGACTAACGAATGAGATGATGATTCTAAACTATGAAATTAAACGAAAAACTAATTTATCTAATGAAATAAAAATAAAATAAGATGCAAAAGATAGATTCTAGGTTAAGTGTTCC